AAACGTTGTGGTAAACACGTTGGGGGTGTTTGTATAGGTAAACGTAGTGGTAAAGGTGGTTGGTTTGTCATTGTATAAGAATAGTACACTGGTCAACATTGTCTGTAGGTAGATGTAGTATTAAACACTTGGGGTTTGTTTATATAAGTAAACGTTGTGGTAAAGGTGGTTGGTTTGTCATTGTATAAGATGGTACACTGGTAAAAATTGTCTGTAGGTAGATGTAGTGGTGAACAAGTTGGGTTTGTTTGTAGAGGTAAACGTTGTGGTAAAGGTGGTTAATTTGTCATTGTATAAGATGGTACACTGGTAAAAATTGTCTGAAGGTAGATGTAGTGGTGAACAAGTTGGGTTTGTTTGTAGAGGTAAACGTTGTGGTAAAGGTGGTTGGTTTGTCATTGTATATGATGTTACACTGATAAACATTGTCTGTAGGTAGATGTAGTGTTAAACACTTGGGGTTTGTTTATATAGGTAAACGTTGTGGTAAACACGTTGGGGGTGTTTGTATAGGTAAACGTAGTGGTAAAGGGGGTTGGTTTGTCATTGTATAAGAATAGTACACTGGTCAACATTGTCTGTAGGTAGATGTAGTATTAAACACTTGGGGTTTGTTTATATAGGTAAACGTTGTGGTAAACACGTTGGGGTTGTTTGTAGAGGAAAACGTAGTGGTAAAGGTCGTTGGTTTGTCATTGTATAAGAATGGTACATTGGTTTAACATTGTCTGTAGGTAGATGTAGTTAGAGCGTTGGAATTGACAATCATGATGTTACTGACGAATAAAATGGTACACTGGTTTTACATTGTCTGTAGGTAGATGTAGTAGTAAACAAGTTGGGTTTGTTTGTATAGGTAAACGTAGTGGTAAAGGTGGTTGGTTTGTCATTGTATAAGATGGTACACTGGTAAAAATTGTCTGAAGGTAGATGTAGTGGTGAACAAGTTGGGTTTGTTTGTAGAGGTAAACGTTGTGGTAAAGGTGGTTAATTTGTCATTGTATAAGATGGTACACTGGTTTAACATTGTCTGTAGGTAGATGTAGTAGTAAACACGTTGGGTTTGTTTATATAAGTAAACGTTGTGGTAAAGGTGGTTGGTTTGTTATTGTATAAGAATAGTACACTGGTAAACATTGTCTGTAGGTAGATGTAGTATTAAACACTTGGGGTTTGTTTATATAAGTAAACGTTGTGGTAAAGGTGGTTGGTTTGTCATTGTATAAGAATAGTACACTGGTAAACATTGTCTGTAGGTAGATGTAGTATTAAACACTTGGGGTTTGTTTATATAGGTAAACGTTGTGGTAAAGGTGGTTTGTTTGTCATTGTATATGAATAGTACACTGGTTTAACATTGTCTGTAGGTAGATGTAGTAGTAAACACGTTGGGTTTGTTTATATAAGTAACCGTTGTGGTAAAGGTGGTTGGTTTGTCATTGTATATGAATAGTACACTGGTTTAACATTGTCTGTAGGTAGATGAAGTAGTAAACACGTTGGGTTTGTTTATATAAGTAACCGTTGTGGTAAAGGTGGTTGGTTTGTCATTGTATAAGAATAGTACACTGGTAAACATTGTCTGTAGGTAGATGTAGTAGTAAACACGTTGGGTGTGTTTATATAGGTAAAAGTTATGGTAAAGGTCGCTGGTTTGTCATTGTATATGATGGTACACTGGTTTAACATTGTCTGTAGGTAGATGTAGTAGTAAACACGTTGGGTTTGTTTATATAAGTAAACGTTGTGGTAAAGGTGGTTGGTTTGTCATTGTATAAGATGGTACACTGGTAAACATCGTCTGTAGGTAGATGTAGTGGTGAACAAGTTGGGTTGTTTGTATAGGTAAACGTAGTGGTAAAGGTGGTTGGTTTGTCATTGTATAAGAATGGTACACTGGTAAACATCGTCTGTAGGTAGATGTAGTGGTAAACACGTTGGGTTTGTTTGTATAGGTAAACGTTGTGGTAAAGGTCGTTGGTTTGTCATTGTATAAGAATGGTACACTGGTTTAACATTGTCTGTATGTAGATGTAGTGGTAAACACGTTGGGGTTGTTTGTATAGGTAAACGTAGTGGTAAAGGTCGTTGGTTTGTCATTGTATAAGAATGGTACACTGGTTTAACATTGTCTGTATGTAGATGTAGTGGTAAACACGTTGGGGTTGTTTGTATAGGTAAACGTAGTGGTAAAGGTCGTTGGTTTGTCATTGTATAAGAATGGTACATTGGTTTAACATTGTCTGTAGGTAGATGTAGTGGTGAACAAGTTGGGTTTGTTTGTAGAGGTAAACGTTGTGGTAAAGGTGGTTGATTTGTCATTTTATAAGATGGTGCACTGGTAAAAATTGTCTGTAGGTAGATGTAGTAGTAAACACGTGGAGTTTGTTTATATAGGTAAACGTTGTGGTAAAGGTGGTTGGTTTGTCATTGTATAAGAATGGTACACAGGTAAACATTGTCTGTGTAATTGATGGTACGTCATGTTGGTTTTGTCCGTATAATAACACATTGTGATAAACGACGTCGGTTTATCATTATCTTTATATGTAGTTTTGATAGGCGTTTGTTTCGTGAGTTTAATTATATTTCAGGCTTGAAATGCATCTTTATAACAAGTATGATGGTATGCAACACGGAAATGGCTCAACAACATGACATTGTTAGTGTATTGTTCTTTGTTGTCTCACTCGTTTCAAAATAAATTTCACCAAATGACGGAACAGTCATTTTTTGCGGGAACAAAATGTTTTTCCTGTGGTGGTTACCAGTTCCGTCAATTTGGGTGCATCAATCGGAATGGTTTCTCTAAGAACTGTACAAAGGGAATGTCAGTATATATTTGAAAAGTACGCTGGTATTATCAGTAAAAGTACGTGTAGTTTGACATTTAATAGGAACTTGTTATTTGCAGATGCTATGGAAAATTCTTAAAGATCATTTTACACTCGTTTTGACAATCGACATAATGCTATTACACAGAACAGATATTTGCACTATATCCATTCATAAAACATGGCCAAGGGTGATGACCCTATAACGAAAGTGACCCTGAATACATTGATCTCGGCCGAAGGTGTTGCTCTGTGGAGAAAGCTACCCTGAATATTGCGAGGAGTCAATGACATGTATTTTTCCTCCAGAAATGATTGACAGTTATGGATGTATGTTGACGGATAGCCGTATTGAGGAAATGACAATGTTGTTACTAAGTTGATGAGAGCATTGAGGCACGTAAAAACGATTCTGTAAAGCGCATTAAACCAGTAAAGGTATGTTACAGATATAGAATGGACACGAGGAAAATCTCCATAAACAGTCACTATTTTCGGAGACAGGAGGAAATAGATTGTATTGCAAGAACAAAAAAATGACCTTGGCATTTTCATGAGTGCCAAGGCTGTTTATGTTTTATTATATCGCTGCAATCAAACATGTTACTCTATCGTATTGTGTTGACCTTCCCGCCGCCATTGTTGTCTGCAGACAGGTGTCTGCTTACGGAAATTATCGCAAATAGACTTGGTCGAGGGGTACCAAAATTTCGCTTGTATTCTGTATACCAAAATCCAATACTCCAGCTGTTTTATCATGCATCTACCGATTCGAATCTACACAGATTTTAATGAAACTTTCCTGGCAGGGGTTCCTGGAGTCCAAGACAATCCCTCTCCATCAACCGTTGTATGCATTGCTTGAAACACTTACCATAGTTGATCATACGGGTTATTTATAGATGAGATTCCGATGTGAGTGACGTCTATCCTTGGACTGTACGTCGTTGGGTTTGTCATGTCGTTTCGTGTCGTGACGTTTGGTTTCAGTGTAGTCCATGAGTGCTGATTCAATGATATTTTGTTCTGTTCATTGCTTATCAGAAATCTATGTCAGCATTGATTTCACAATCCGAAGCATCTTTGTAAATCCAGTTATGAGCATGAGAAAATGCTTTTCTTATTTATGTCAAACTCTGTATTTCTTTTAATAATAAACTAGATTTGTGTATTATTTACTTTAGGTATCGCATCCATCATCCCCTCCCGATTTCATCTCCCTTAATTCAACGCTAGAAATTGTTCACACAATAACCACAATACAGTTTACGTTCGTCATTCTCCAGCTCGGGATTTATTTCTCGTCTTCGATTGATATTAAAAATGATGTGCATTACTCCAGCACATTCTAATCAATTAAGCGGAGAAGAAGTGCTAGAATTAGCCGGTCTTGTTTGTAGCAGTAACGTCCAAACTAACTAATGCGAGACCTAATGCTGAGTGTGTCCCTAATCACAACGAAAACCCAGCTTGAGCGTCACTCTCCCTCCGCTTCCCTCCTTAATTGCTCGTTAAGTGCAAACTAAACGTAAACAATTAAAGAACCCTAATAGAATTTATTTTCCACCATTCAATGTTCATCAAGATCTAGCTCGGGGAGAATATTTGCGGTCTGCGCATGCTTGGTGAATTGACGTATTGATCACATTGGTGTCACGTGTATCCCCACACGTTGCCCACCACTCAATTTGATGGCATTTCTTTTAAACGAGAGTTGTAAAGAGCGATGCACATATCTAGTTATGCTTGGTCAATGTAAAATGTCAACGTCATCCCTGAAGCATCGAAAAACGACTCAATCTAACACATTAACACATTAAAGTAGGCTTATATTAAGATTTAAAGGATATAAAGGTAAAATTTGGACCATATTATAACCAGAATAAACATGTGAATGACAGTATATTACCTCGTACACAATAGCCACAAAGGGCCATGTCACATGTCTATACGTATCTAAAACATGTTCTATACTAAAGTCATAGGCAGAAAATACCAAAGGCGTTTTCAGTGAGGTTTCTAACAGAACTATGTTTATGTGCGACTGCTAAGGTAACAGAGTTAAAAAAAAGATCATGTTCTCACGTAATATAGATCGTTGAAATTTTATTTTGTTTGACTTTTTTAAGAAATACATTTCTTATCCGTATTCTTATATATTTTCAGTGAAAAGAGACCAACCCCAGGCAGGCCGACAAACTTTGACGAGCCAGCTACTTATGTCTAAACTCTCCAACATCGATGTGAAGGACATACGTCAGCACATCGATGTACAGCACCACAACGAAGACATCTACGGCGACGCGCGCTTCATGCACGCCGACGGAAGTTTGGCTCAGGCCGGCGCCAACAACTTTGATTCCGTCAACGAGAATATTGACCTAGTGATGCGCGGTGGGAAAGCATACATCACCATCACTGTGACGGCGGAGAGATACACTCCCATAGACAAAGAGTTCAACGTTTGGCGGAAGAGTCAGGCAGTCGTGACAAGGGTTATCGAGATTGATTTCCTAGCCAACGAGCAGCGCAGACGACTGTACATGAGTGTCATGGAAAGGGCGGGAGAATGTGAAGGCGAGGCTGACCGAAGCGCCTATGGTGGCGGTTTCGGAGGTCAAGAACGTGTGCTCTCAACAAAAGAAACACTTGATTTGTTTTCGGAAATAATGGATGCTACGGAAGGGGAGGGGGATCACGAGGATATTACTGTGAAAACTAAACAACATAGAACAACCCTCCCACCTCATGACTTTCTCTATTGAAATGCTGTCTAACCGACCATACAAAGGGGGGATCCAACCGAATATAAACAAAGATAGCTGTAGTAAGTGCGGTTTGATTCCTGTTTGTACTGGCTCGTGATTACAATATCAATGAGTATACAGATGCTTCATGTACTATACGGTGTGCTACGTGATGTTTCTTGAAGTGAAAGCGCTACAGTTGTAATATGTAGCCTAACTGGTTCGGTAGTAGAATTTATTGCACTCGGAGACAAGGTGACTTATTCTTCTGTCGTTTCGACATGCATGTCGCATGCTCATGTTCTATTTGTGTTTTGATCATGAAAAACTTTCGCAAAGGATTGATTTCGGCCATGTTAACTGATCGAGAAGAATTTGCGTTTGTGTGGTCTCCTGGCCACGGCACATATCAAGGCAACCACGTTGCCATGACACATGGCAACGTCGTTACGTCGCCATGACAGATATAGCAACGTAGCAACGTCGCTACGTCGCCAAGATAGATATTGCTACACAGTCTGGTATTGGCTCGCGTGAGATAGGCGGGGAAGCTCATGAAAGTGTACAATCCGATAGTCTGACAAGTCGTCTGATCAAGTTACCCACTACATACATTATTTATTATAGGCGTGTGAGGAGAAGATCAGTTCGGGTCCCCATAGGCTCCTAATCTCTGACCCCTAAAAGGTCGACTTCTATCTGACATTTCAAGACGTGAGGGTTAACTCCGTGTTGTGTTATTATAGCAGCATAGGTGTTGAGGACATTTCCACTGCATATTAAAGGGCATTTACTATTAATTAAATAGTCTAAATTAACAATGACCTTTAAAATAATCTTACAGAAATATGGGTAGAGGGACGTATACTGACGTCATCTCCTGTTGCTGTAACGTACTTAATAGATGATTATTTCTGACGGATGTTATTATGCGGGGTCCTGTATTGCACGGTTGTACTCGGAAGTCACGAGAGGCTTTACGACCGTAGGGAGTACAATATTGTTACATTACAAATAATGTCTTCCTGCTACACTCGGTTGTCTGCTTCATTACAAAAGATAGGGATGATATGATGATAACCTACTGAAAACTACGACGTTATATGTACGTATAACCATATATATCCGGAATGATTTCCGGACGGGTACTGTTTTCATATTAGATTTGTATATTTCCGAACGGGTGCTGTTTTCTTATTAGTTTTTATATTGTTAGACAGGTGCTGTATACATTATATTGCTTTATAAGTGCTGTATATTATATAAAAAAAAATGTAATTTAAATCCCTCAATATGTGATTATCATCTACTATACCCTTCATACAGGAGCAACCTAGGTATGCTTTTTGTGCTGTAAATAAGTACATACATGTACCTATAACATTTTCCAAAAGCGGGAAAGAATCTTTCTGGCTCACACGTACCTCTCTCAGCTGTACATTCTAAGATGATCACTGAAACTAACAGGTTGATCCCAATGCCGGCAGCCTAATTTCTTAAATAGCCTTAGCTGTTAAATCCAATAACCCGGCCATTTCAAAATATTTGGTATTAAAGCAGATATTTAACATCAGGAAACAAACTACCTTGTTTCTCCTCGACTATCATTTTTTACCTTTACACGCGCTCGTAAGCGCGGAATCACGTCCGTCTGTTATCAGCCGAGTTCTGCAAAAACCTGATGACATATTTTGTATTTGACGACTTGTTTAGAGCGTTAATGACTGTCAGTTTTCCGGATCTAAGAAGAGAGTTATTCCTCGTGTGTTATCCGTTTCCGGAGTGTCTGGATTCCTCCGGAGTTTTATGGGTTCCATAATGTCTTTTACTGGTTCCTGCTGTGTTTTTTTAATTTATTTTTCTTTGTTTTATGGTGTCCTTGTTTGTTGATATTGAAATATATATATTTTACTATTCTACTTGTTGGCATTTGATGATCAGAAATGATTGTAAGTAGAATATTTATTCTGATATAGACAAAAAGGTAACACACCGTGGCAGTTATTAATATTGTGCCCCAGTACACGTTGTATCAGTGTGAACGAGGACACACTGGATTTACTACAATCTTTGAATAACAAACCCTTACTCAGTCCACTGTCACTGTGGATTGAGTTAAATGAAATAGAACAGTGGCCGTCGTACGTCTGTCGTCCGTCCGTCCGTCCGCCTGCCCGTCCATCAACTTTTTTTTTCAAACGAAACATTCTGATGAATCATTGAATGAAAATTTGCCAAATTTGACTGGAAGTATCCACAGCTGGTAGCTATATATATATATAGGGGTCCAAATTGTACAAATGGAGGGTTCATCCAATGTGACTTCCTCAGTCCTACGGGGCTGGCCAAACTAGGATTGTAACTAGGAAAAGATTTAGATATCGACCGTATAATTATATACGCAATTACTGAGCATGGAAAGGTTATAACAAATGTTCATGTCTCCTACAAGGTTTGGCCTCTTGGTTCACCAATGCCGTTGAAACTTCTGGTCATAAAATGGTAACGGTTGTTATTCCCACCTCTTCACCTTATACAGATCTAGAGTACATTGCTTCATTGGAGTAGGGAGACGGAATGCACGCGTACTAACAGGTTTAGCGCCAGGGTCAACATGGTCATAAATGACCACCCCATAACCGTATATAAAATGTACATTTGTTTGGTATGTACGAACAGATATGCTACACTGAGTTCCATGTGGGGGGAAATTTAGGAAAATGAAAATGGTGAAAACACATGATTTTTAAAGAAAATTATACAGGGTTCCTGAAGCCCAAAAACCCCTCTGGATCCGCCACTGTATACTCGTTTTGATTATATACGCTTGGCACTTGTGTGGTGTACACTGAATCGCGAGGCATGTCGTAAGTATCAACTATGCAGCCTCCTGGACATCTGTCGTGTTCTTGTGACAAATTCTAGAAACTGCCCAAGGCGTGATACTGGACAGAGTATTTAACTCACCTTATACCACAATGGCGGACGACAGCGCCACTCGTGAAGATGGCGAAGTTAAGTCCATCTTACTTGAAATGATCGATGTGTCCATGATCTAATTGAGACAATGCTATACACGTGTGATAGTTGTTAGGAGACAAATCCAGTATCATACGTACACCAGAAAGATGATATAACACGTATTGTTATAAGCACTGTATATCACTACCATGGCAAGCCAAGCTAACATTTAATACCTGAAAGTTATATCTATTACATTTAATAGTGTCTTTAATTTAATTGAAGACACATTTAATTCATTTAACGATATATGTATTTTTTTTAATATTACGGTATCTTATTTTTTCAAAGATATTCGGAATACGATTCATCAGATTGGTATGAGTGTTAAAGGCTAAATTTGTTTCAACACACACACACATATATATATATATATATGTAACATTCAAAGCTATCCCTATTACCAAATATAGGATAGAATTTCTTAATTTATTCGGATTTTTTTATTCAAATTAAAAATATCTCAATTAAAGAACTATGTATTTCATTTTAAGATATCTGTTTTTGAATACAGTTTATCTCTATTCATACAAATCTCTTAAATTTAAGGTAATCTGTAATACTTTTGGACCTATCTGTTGGTATTGAATGTTAGTTAGCGCTTTACCTGTTGCTGTAGGTATGTACGACACGTGAGGTGTAGATTTGTCACTAACCTTGCCCGGGTCCCTAGACAATCGACCTGTGTGTCATCTGTCTGGTACTCAACTATAAAACCGCTAGTGTGTTTCTCAACCATTTTATCGAATTAACAACACCTGTGTAATATTCTGATTCGTTGAAGGTATCATTGTCTTTCTGTTTTATTCTCTAATATAGGTATTCAAGCTGGGTAAAAAATAATTGTGACAGATCTTTTAAATGTTCAAAGAATAAGTTATCACGAATAAATAAAATGTGTGTATTTGATTAATAATTACTGTAAAATCAAGATGCAACATAAATATATTTATGATTTATGTTTGATTTGTGTATATGTAGCCAAAGATACTTCCCCACAAAAATTTTGAACTCTATTGTTTTCCTTTTCAAAACAAATAGTTTACTTGACATATATGTGGTCAGGAAAATACATTAATTGTTTAAGATGTGCAATATTATACTATTTTAATGTTCATATAATACATTTATGTGCATTTGTGTACTATGACATAAATACGAAATACTAAGTCTACCTGACCTATTGTCACGATTACGTGCACGCCGTGAGCCTGCGATTATATTTTGTACAAAAAGTAAGTAGCTAAAGTATACACGCATATTTTTATGTAGTTAAGTTAAATAATGAATAGTGCATATGAAATATAGGCTGTGTTTTATATACAATTATATCAGAATACAAGTGGTGTTATTTTGTTAATAAAGCTATTCCATGTACGTGCCTTCAATGTATATAGCAATAAACATTTATCACTTAACTTTCTGTTATCTTTGTGTAAAAGTGTCATATTCAGGACGACAGAATTCATTTTATCTCTAGGAGGTTAAACGACGCTTCCCGTTTGATATATTTTAAAGCGTCGTAAATTAGATGGAGATCTATGACATACGAGAGTAGGATACTATAAAACTCTGGCGGGTTGATGAGTTTTATCTATAACTTACCTCCTCGGTCGGTATTATTGTTCTAAACTCATGGATATGTAAGAACCAACATACTACAATTCCGGTTTTAATTTTAAAAACTGACCTACATGTAATAAAAACAAAATAAAAAAGCAATAAAACAATGAAAAAATTAAAAAATACTGCCCGATTTTTTAAATTAAACATGTAAAAAAATCAACAAATTTTACGTTAGATTATTGTGACGCCAGTATTCTATCCTGGACGTCGTTTTGTCCGCCATTGTTGTTCGATTCAAGATTTCGGGATGCAGGTTAAACATTTAAATTGGAAAATTAAGAGCTATTCTCTACAGCAAACCTTAGGTGCATATAAAGAGCGACTGAAGGTACATGTACATGTATGTTATACAAACAAACCCGAAGCCTTTGTCTGACGGCACAGACAGCACTTGTTCTTTGTGCCAATGTACTAATAGAATCCATCCCTGATGTGAGGTATGGATTAATAGCATCCATCCCTGATGTGAGGTATGGATTAATAGAATCTTCCCTTACCTTGAGGGTGTGATAGAGAAATCTCCAACCCGAGGGTGATGTTTTTTGGTTTTCTAACCCGACCCTCTATCTCCAACCCGGGGGTGATGTTTTTTGGTTGTCTAACCCGACGCTCTATCTCCAACCCGAGGGTGATGTTTTTTTGGTTGTCTCGAGCCGAGGGTTAGACAACCAAAAAAATCACCCCAAGGGTTGAATATTTCTCTGTTACACCCTCCAGGTAAGGTGTTGTTATTTTTCTACCATCCTATTTTTCGATCACAGCTTCACCGACAGTTGTCTGTTTGTAAATACAAACACATATGAATATCGTCATTCAAGTTTGATGACGTCACAATTACCGATGACGCATTTTAATGACGTCACAATTGAACACGTGCTACACGGCACGAGGCTATTTCCCCCTAGGGGGTGACAAGCTGATCTTTCCCGGCTAAAACGGGAGACACGCCTGTGAAGGATGGGAGAAAAGGTCATTCATACCCATGGAGTAAAATATTGAGCAGGAGATCCGAGGGTCTTCTGCTCAATATTTTATCCCGAGGGTTTGAATGACCTTATACATACCTCACATCGGGGATGGATTATATTTCTTGCTTATTACCTAAAAACTGCTGCTCTTCTAGTAAAGTTGCAAACTGTCCGCACATTTCTCATTTACATATGAAGCTCGAAGGCAATTGTTAATGACGTCAATGACCCTGACTGACCCCTAAACGAACAATAGCGTGACCCCGAAAGGTCACTATAATTCCCCGACAGTCTGCGCGTGTAAGCGATCCAGACCCGTGGGTCGGATAGAATTTTCCAGCACCGCCGGAAATGCGGATATCTCGGTCAAGCATGCAATAATAAAAATCCTAGCATTTACATGCACTACGTTCACTCGTGGTATTTGTGACGTCAGATTCATGTAAATCCTTATAATATTGCTCATCAATTAAACCTGTAATAACGTATGACCTTGCTCCTAGCATATAACTAGATAAACCTTTGTTTATACTCGTATAAAAGTTTGACTGTGTTCATAGTGCGTAACCAGACGGACATGTTAGGCGTGCAAGTGTTCATAATACGTCGCCTGATAATCTAATTAAGGATCATACCTACCTATCAAACCTGTGTTAGGGACCACTATTGACTACCATTAGAAAAATAGGGACATAGGCTACCGGATGTAAATGACCCCAAAAAGGATTTGTCCGAAACCCGACATCAGAAAGGTTTATAATTTGGTTCCATACGCCATATGAAAAATATTCGATTCGTTAAAATTGCTCACCGAAAATTATAGCTTTCGAAAGGAGAGATACCAATCTTCGATAAAGACACATTTCTAACGACAAGACCAAAAATACGTGTGTACTGACAACGAAATGAATTACGATCTCGTTAAACCGGTGCTTAGGCCAAGTGAAATATATTTCTCATTCTTTGGACTAGTTTTCACCATATTTTTAAGATAACGATCTTACGAAAATCAACTAAATTTTAGCTGCTTATATTTCCC